TTTTGACTACTTGTCGGTTTCCACTGAGGCAGTTGGGAATCTTGAAGCAGTGCCATGGTGCTTATGATGTGTCAGCATGGTGCGGGACAATAACTTCAGCACAAACATCAGAGTCCAGCATCTCCTCTATTCTCTCTCTCAGCCGTGAAAACAAAGAGCCATTTAAACAAAGCCCAGAAGATGGGAAAGAGCAGGAAAGAAGGGCCTATGGAAACCGGAAAATGTGGAACTCAAGGATTAAGTGGAAATCCGCACTGTTAGATTGTGAGGATTGTAGCGGATGCCAGGAAGCAAACTGTATCAATTGTGGAACAGGAAACTAATGTGCAGTCTGTCAGTTTCACCCAAGTTACAATGAAAAATACAAAAAGAAGAGCCTGCAGGGATTCCAAGTACAATCATGTATGAATATGCCAACGTTGACTGTATCAGACTGGGAGTGGACCGTGCAGTTGTACTGTTGCTGTGCATTGTTGTTGTTGTTGTTGTTGTGTGCCGTGGAGTAGGTTCCGACCCATAGCGACCCTCTACAGGGTTTCCGAGGCTGTAAATCTTTACGGGAGCAGAAAGCCTCATCTTTCTCCTGCGGAACACCTGGTAGTTTCGAACTGCTGACCTTCAGGTTCGCAGCCTGATTCATAACCCCTAGTTCTGCTATTAAATCCCATCAACGTGAGCTTGCTTATATATACTTACTTGTCTCTTGGCCACACAGGTGGGAAGTAGCCATCCTTCTCAAAAAAAGAACCAGGAAATAAATAATTTGAAAAAGATGATAGGGTGGGGTGGAAACTTGAGTAAAAGATAAAAGTGCCAAAAAGTGGATGGATGGAGGGAGGGAGGGAGCAGGGGGCAAGGGAGAGAGAAGGAAGAAAAGAAGACAGACTGCTCTCAGTAAGTAGATATCGTAGCTTCTATAAGGTTTCCAAGGAGATGCTGGTGGGTTTGAACTGCTGACCTTATGGTTTGCAGTCCAGTGCTGATCCTACAGCGCCATGCCAGTTGATTCTGACCCATGGCACCCCAATGTGCGAGAGGAGAACCACCCCAAAGTCTTTTCAAGGAGATTGCCAGTATTTTTTCAGCTAGTACTTGAATGATTAAGCCCTGTGCTGGGCAGTGAATAAGGAAGACTGTAGAAGAATTGATGTTTTTGAGTTATGGTGTTGGAGGGTTGCCCATAGAATCAATAGATCTGTGTTGGAAGAAGTGAAGCCAGAGTGCTCCTTGGAGGCCAAGATGCCCAGACTTCGTCTCTCATACTTCAGACATATTGTCAGGAGGGACCAGTTGCTGGCAAAGGATATCATATTTGGTAAGCTGGAAGGCCAAAGAAAAAAAAGGAAGACCCCCAGCAAGATGGATTGACCAAGTGGCAGCATCAATGGGCTCAAGTGTGGCAACAATTGTGAGGTTGGCCCAGGACTGGGCAGTGTTTCATTCCATTGTGCATAGGGTCACTATCAGTCGGTATTGACTCCATGGCACCTAACAACAACATCCACCACCCAGGATTTCCTTAAGTAGGTAGATTAAATAGGTAGATGGTGGTGGTTATGTGCTGTGGAGTCGGTTCTGACTCATAGTGACCCTGTAC